TGAGAAGCAATTGTTTTATTTCGGCCATAGTTGTATTATCTTAAATTATTTTTTAAATATTAAATAAACTAAAATAGAAAAATTACAAAATAAGGTGTGGTGACTTAGTGAAGTGGTAGAGTTGTCACACCTTCAGACAGCAGGTTTAGAGTTCGAATCCTATGAATGACGAATTTGAAAATACTAGATCTGTATTGGTTAATATTAAAATTATTGGTTGGATCCAGATATTTGTAATCTTGATTACACTATCTCAAATAGGAGCTTCGGCGCAATAAATCCAGGAAACTGGAATTACCAAAAACCTGTTTGGCAAGTCCTGAGTAGGGAGGTAGTATGATCTTTAACGGTGCTACAGGAAGACTGAATTTGGAATTAGAGACCAAGACTGGAGAACCAAGCGACCAGGTCCTTAAGTGAGGGGACACATCAGCTAAACCACCGGGTCGCCAACTAGAGGAAAAGAACATGTGCTCTGGAAGCATGTGCCAAGGGAAGGGAGACTATAAAGCATCTAAAGCCTAGGCAGACCGACCTTCTGAGTTGCCAGCTAGAAGTAAAGGAGAGACTAGTAAAAAATCCAAGGAAGAAAGAAAATCTGAATGTGGGTACTAGGGTTGTGCGAACTTTACAAGGGCAAGGAGTATGTAATGGAAGACTAATTAGGAAGATTGTAGCTTGAGATATGGATTAGGTTACGGCAGTATCCTAAAGGATAGCTTGAGATACAAACCTGGTAATGGCAGCACAACAGGTACTAGTTAGAAGGAAATTACCGAACATGCAGGTATAAATATATGTGAGATATGGACTACTCTGTTAGGTTTACCTTATGAATAGATTAGCCAAAAATGGTTAGTAAGTCCTAAGGTGGTGTGAAATCTACAGGTGTTACAAAATCTATGTATAAATAGTGAGTTACACCTTGGTTAGTTTAGAAACGGACAGCAGTTGTGACTAGAGGGTTTAAATAGGTATCCCCTATAGTTGGGATGCAGGTACGGTAGCTAGTGTAAAACCTAGGGCAGACTACTTAAATAGGCAACCAAAAGTTGCATGTATGGCTAGTTATACTCTCATTAGTAATAATCAGAAAGCTAAATAGATAATCTCCTAGTTAGGTTGCAGGTCTGGTGGCTAGTGTAGAACCCAGGCAGACTACTTAAATTAGGTACCAAAAGTACACATGTGGCTTGATATACTCTCATTGTAACTATATAACCTGAAGTTAATAAGTCTAATAAAAAGTCTCCAGCCGTAGAGATCACCTTAATACCAAAAAAAAAAAAAAAATTACAAAATAAACAAATATGTATTAAAGAATTTTAACCTTCAGAAGAGTAAGATAAATAAGTTGATAAAGAGCCAATACATCCACTAGGCTGCACAGCAGCTTTTTCAGTTTCAAACTGAGGTGCTTTACTACTAGCTTTCAATTTTAAAAATAATATATGTTTTGCAGTATCAAGCTTAGCAGTTTTACCCATTGGACGTGAAGATATTATAATAAAATAAATGAAATAATATAAAATAAAAAATAATAAAAAAAATAAAGAATAAAAGAAAAAAAATAAAAAATAAAAAATAAATATAATTAAATAAAATTAAAACAAATCGAAATAAAGCAAATAAAATAAAACAAATATAAAAAAAAAAAAATAAAAAATAAAAAATAAATATAAATAATAAAATTAAAAAAAAGGGAAATGAAAAAAAAATAAAAAAAATCGAATTAAAGTGAAATAAATAAATTAAAGTTAAGATAAAGCAAAATAATATGAAATAAAAAATATGGAAAGTAAAGTGACAAAGAAATTTTTTGAAGACAAATATTTTGAATGAATGTAGAATAAAGCGAATAAATTTAAAATGAAATGAAATTTACGAAGAAAATAACTGAAAATTGGGTTTATTTATATAAATTCGAAATAAATCGAATTAAATTGAAAAAAATAGAAAAAGCAATAATTTTTATTAAAGACAATATTTTGAATAAAATTAAATTAATTCGATATATTTAAGTAATCAACTTTTATTTGACATTGAAATTTAGCTCCAGATATTTAGATAATTTGAAATATTTTAATATAATTTAAATTTATTAAATTTAAGATATTAAATATATTTGATATATTTGTATATTGGTTTTCTAAATGCCTTCGACTCATTAAATTAATAACTCCCGATCATATTCGAACTAATTTAAGTATAGTTAAAACAATGTGAATTAACCAAAATAAGATCTCCTTTTAAACTAATTACTATATTTAGAATATGTAAAACATTTTAAATAAATTAATCTGCTTGAAAACAATTTATTAATATATATAGAAATTTACCAGAATATTGTGCATTATTTATTGTTATAGAGAAGCATTTCTTGATTTTATGTAATCAGATTAATAAATAAAAAAACATATATAGTTTTAATGTAATTGAATGTAAGAGGTTTATATATATCTAATAAAAGCAAAATCTTTATCTATTTCGCAAAAAAATTGTTAATCTAAACCACAAACACACTAAATATTTGCGCACAGTTGCGATTTTATTTAAATAAAATTAAAATGATTAATGAAAATATATGATAGGGACAACTCTTCCTGACGATCACTGTGACCAAAATTAGAGCAGAACCAAAATACAGAAAAAATTACAACGGAACTAGATAAACGTGCAGTAAGCAATTAAAAAAGAATAGTAGTTATTGTGAGAGGAAGTTAGTTTCTTAAGACACTAGACCTCAATAGAAAATAAATAGGCTAGGTACTTTGAAGAAACGGTTTTTGGCAAAGAAATTTCAGAGTAAAACGGAAAATTGGCTAGACCCCGAACACAGATCTCTACTTGTAATATGTAAACAAACAACGTGACAAGTATACGAATTAGGATATCTAACGTAAACAAATCAACAAAGTAGCAGACACGTAAACAAGCAAATCAAGAATAGAAGTCTAGACTGGTATGCAAGAACCAGTAACACAGAATGGCTCGGGGACATCGGAAATGTCGAAGAGTTACGCAAAGCTTGAGGAATACCGAGGCATGTACAAAAGATCGGTAAATGAGCAGAATATGATAGTAGAAAATCATAAGTCAAACATTTTGAGAAAAGATAAAGAAATTGTAGCACTTATTGGTACAAAACCAGAAACAGTATGCATGTTCCGAAATATAATTGAGCTTTATAGCTATTGTGAGTACTTGCAGGCAAGAGAAGAAGAACTAGTAAGTCGAGATAAAAGTACAGCTTCTGCATTAAAGAAACAGGACATTAAAAGTTTAATAGACCATGAAGTTGGATGTGTTGACTATGGTATTAAAGAGATCCAGTC